AAGACTGCTCCAACCGCCTCCTCACCGGAGGTGTGGTTTGTGGCGACGTCGAGCAGGTCACGGGTGGTACATGGCTTCAGACAGCCAAGCTTGTGGATCAAGGACTCACAGGTTGTCCCAGAGAGGAACACGCTGATAACGTCCACGTCGATGACATCAGGAAGGGAGTTGCATCGTTTCGAGAACCAACGGATGTAATCCCGTAGGGACTCGTTGGGCTCCTGCTGGCAGCTCTTGAGGTCCTAGGAATTCCTAGGACAGACATAGGTCCCCTGGAAATTCCCGATGAAGATCCTCTTGAGATCCGCCCAGTCGCGGATGCTGTCAGGTGGGAGGAACTCGAGCCATGCTCGAACATGCTCCCCCACGTAGATGGGGAGGTATTGAATGATGAAGTGGTCATCATCCACTCCTTCGGCTCGGCAGGCAAGCCGGAAATCTTTGAGCCATATACCGGGATTTGTCTCCCCGGTATATTTGGTGATGTTGGTAAGCGATCGGAAGCGCTGTGGGAACGCTGCTCTCTAGATGCGACGGCCAAAGGCCCATGGTCCCGGGCCGTCCGGGCTTTGACTCCGGTCATCTGGTCGGCGACCATGCCTAGGGTGCGTTTCCCCGCTCCCCTCGATGGTTCGGCCGGGGCCCGTGCCACCTGCTCTCACTGCCCCTCGATGGACGTCGTCATCATGCCAGGCCTGACGCCGGTTGTTGATGACGTTGCGAGCATCTCAGTTTGGCCTGAGGCGTTCGCGTATAGGTGGTCGGCGAGGAGCGGGCGCCAGGTCAGGCCATGGTGCAGCTGTGGCCTCCTGTTGCGATTCAACTGGTGCGGCCCCATTCCCCCAGTGGGGAGAGAGGCCACTAGTTGGTGTCACGACGCGGAGCTCTTCGCCTGTTGAACGGCGGCGGTTTCCACTAGTGCCCGGAGGTTCTGGTGAACCGCCTGCTCCTAGGGGTCGACAGGCTCTGGAAGGCCACGCAAAAGCATCACCGCAACGGCGATCTTCTGGCCAGCCCGAGCAAACTATGGGGGATCGTTCCTCCCATCCATGATGTTGCGCTGGACCTGGCGGGCGCGACCCCGGGCGTCGCTCACTGGGTTTTGCATGCGGGGCACAGCGTGCTGCGCCGAGCGTGCCGGCGCAGGTGGTGGCTGGCTCTGTCGCCTCTATCGTAGCTCCTCGCCGTGCTCCTACGCACACACGAGGGTCCAGAGGGGTGTGAGTCTGTAGGGACTCAGCTACCACCGGTGGCTGTACCGGAGCGTCCGCCATAGTGCACTCCCGGGACAGAGGGTGGCTAGGTGCCACAACGTCGCTGATGCTGGAGCCGTTGCTTTCGACCTCATCATCCATGAGGTCGTGGAAAGAGGCGGGAGCGTAGCCTGCCATCCCCACGAATTTGGACATGAGATGGGCAGCGTCAGCATCTTTTGGAACCCCCGTGCGTACGTGTCTGCGGGAGACGCGAGGCCATAGGGGAACCGGTTGCATGGCAGTCATGGTGGGGACAACGGGGTCCCTCCGGAGAGTCGGCGGAAGATATCAAAAAGCGAGTAAAGAACAATATGTACGTTACTCATAGTGGGTTTTGAGCCCAGCGTGGGCTCGGAGAGAAGCGCAGACGTCTTGTCATTGAGGTCACCGGGTGTCCTAGAGCCGTCGGAGGGCGCTCCTCCTTCGACCGGCGCCGGGACAAGTGCCTCCTCGTGAAGGCGAAGCACGCCGAGCTAGTCAGCGATGAAGTCCAGGCTTTCGAAGAGGAAGGTCTGAGATAGCTCAAAGACGGGAGGAACCCACATCCCAATAGGTGGGAGCGCAAGAAATTCCAGCGAGCCAAAGCGAATCATATCGCATGAGCCCGCCATGGCGAAGATGGCAGAAAAGTGGGCCATCTGATGACCAAAAGCGTGAATGTACGGCGTCTTCCCCACGGACGGCGCCAACTGTCGGTGCGAAAAGTGACCAACAAGTAAATATTTATCGTTTTGCCGTACGTTGTGATCGGATGTGGCCTAGCACTCAATGACACAAGGTTTATACTGGTCCAGGCAATGTGCCCTACGTCCAGTTTGAGTTGGTCGGTGACTTTATTCCTGAGCCCAGGTGCTCGAAGTTTACTGTGGGGTTACAAACGACTGGGAATAAGATGGGGGTGTTAGAGGTTCGGTCGGACTCTGGATTGAAGGGCCAAGAGTGATGGGAGCTCCTCCGTGCGCTAAGTATTGGAACGTACGTTCTGCGTTGCTTTAGAGTTCTAGAGCAGTGAAGTTGTTCTAGTGCTCTAAATGCCTAAAGCTAGCAGAGAGAGTCAGAATTGATCCATCTGTCGTCTGTTGCTGTTCGTCCTTGTTCTAGGAGGGAGCACATCCCCTTTTATAGGTTAAGGGGATGGCCTTACAAGAGAGAGAGAGAGAGAGAGGCGTGTGCTACCTCGTCTTGTTGCCCACGTCATTGGGTACAAGACGGTTTGTTGGTGCCCTCAATACTGTTGACGCCCAGGTGCATGTGGTAGGCTCCATCGTGTTCTTCTAGTATGGCAAATGTCGGCGCCTACCACACTGTAGGTCAAATGTCGGCGCCTACAACACTGTTCGTGTTCTGAGATGTCTGGAAGGTTGTAAAGTACCCTTATGACATGACCTGACAGTACTGTCCTATAGGTGTGTAGGATACGGTCCTCGGTATTGCGATTGACTTGAGCGCCCTGCCTTACTTGCTCTCGCCGATTCTTTGGGTCCTTACCGAGCGGGCGTCCCAGTTCAATCGTTTCCCAGTCGGCTCCGACTACACCGGTCGGAGAAACACTGTAAGTAGAGGTTCGGTGTACTCCCGGTCGGAGAGGTGGGTCGGAGTCAGAAGGGAGTGTCGTCCCCTCCTTGGCCAGGCCTTCTGGTTGGAGAGACGGGTCGAAGTCAGAAGCGAGCGTCGTCCCCTCCTTGGCCAGGCCTTTCGGTCAGAGAGGCGGGTCAAAGTCAGAAGCGAGCGTCGTCCCCTCCTTGGCCAGGCCTTCCGGTCAGAGAGGTGGGTCAGAGTCAGAAGCGAGCGTCGTTCCCTCCTTGGCCAGGCCTTCTGGTCGGAGAGGGATCGTGCTTCCGGCCTATCGTTAGGTATCTGGGCCGGCCTAGGAGTTGCGCGTCGTTCGCAACATCGTCTGCTGGGCCGAGCTTTTGCTGGGAAGCAGGCCCATTAGGGACCCCGGGTTTATGAACCCGACAGTATGTGAGTGAGAGGTGGAAGATGGCTCTAATATGTCAAAGAAGTATTCAAGGTGCCAAGAGAGCCTACTCATGAACATGAGTGGAGTATATCTAGCTCCAACCACAAAACTAGTTGTTACTATGCTTTCTATGCATAGGTGTCCATTTCATAGACACTTCATAGTACAAACGATCTGTCATTCAACCCAAAGGTTATACTTAAAATAAATAAGTGTCAGAGTCGACCTTTAACTTGTAACAGGGACAAGGAACATGGGTTTTGTTGGATGTCAGCATGAGGGTCATCGTGTACCGAATAAGAGTATTTGGTCACTTGTAGAGTGATATGGGTGGATGTAAAAACAGGAAACACCCCCCCTAAACCCCCCACACCCACACATCTTGATTCAGTGGATATGCTTGAGTTGAGCTTCTCTACTCGTACAAGCAACCGTTTGGTGTCTGGTAAATGCAGAGCACCTCCAACAGACCCCTATTTAGGTCCCTATCCTACTATTTTGATGGTCGGTAACAAAAAGCACACTGCAAAGGCCTCTAGTAGGAGGCCCTCAAATCTTCTTCTCAAGCTTTGATTTCTAAGGCCCTAGAGAAGGCCCCCTACTTAATCAGTTTTGACGGTTGCTCCGCGTCCGCTGTTGCCAAATCTGTCGCCACCGTTGCCTTCCTCGTCCCTAGCGGTTCCGCTCTAGCGTGCTCGCCCGCCCAAGTAGCTCCTCCCTAGCATGCCCTCCTCCAACCTTTGCGCCCTCCTCCTCGACTTGGCTTCCTCCCATTCGATGTGTCCCTCCCCCTTGGCACGCCTCCTATCATCATAGCTTCACACCCATGCGGCCTCATCCTCCCAGAGCACCCCTCCCTCAGCACGAATCACTCCCCACCCACCCACGGCGCAGCCTCCACCCCTGCGCATCCTCCTATGCAATGTCCTCCTTCCCCGGCTCCTCCACCACCGCTCACCCTCCATTGGCTCAAAGAGGAAGTAGGGCTCTTGATTTGGAGATACTGCTAGTAGAGATGATCCCATAAAACAAGACCCTCAAAAGTAGAGTAGCCTCCAAATAAAAAAAATAGGGCCTTGATTTAGAGGTTATTGCTTAAGTTGCTCTTGCACCTGTAAAACTGCGCTTTTTGGTCTTAAGGCATGGTCACTACACATCATGCATGCAACCAAACACTTTGTATTGAATGGTGGCATCGCAACCAGCCAACCAACTACTCTTGTTTTAAGTCACTTGATCCACTCAGCGTGCTTCCGACCACCGCCCCCCCCCCCCTCTTTTTTTTGGTATACGAGTCTAGGGGGGAGAGGATCCCATATCTAAAAATATATCGAGGCCTTCTTTCGAGGGTAGTACATTTCCTAAGAAAAAAAAAACAGTAATCATGAGGAATTTCCACGTCCCAAGGGGTCTGATTGGCCTTGCGCCCCTGCCGGCCCGGCAAATTGTGTCAAATTACATCATGTCCGTTTGAGTGGAGAAAAGTTTACTTTGCCGCTGTGATTCTGAGAACATTTGGAATTAATGGGCTGTGAGCTGTGTCAACTATCCGACTGCCGGACCTCTGCTACTGGCTTTTCTGATAGCCAAGGCCTCGCGTGCCTTAATTAGTTACCCTACATTATTATTCCGGGCTACACTGGAAATTCTAAAAAAAAGTACAGGACATGACAATAAAACAAGGAGAGGCAAGCAATTCATTCTGAGTGTCCAACGAATAGCCGTTGCCGAGGCAGCAGATATACTAGCTGAAAAACCATGCAGTCGTCGCCATGCCGAGCTCATGGGTACAGGCAGCTCCTGTACGCGGGCGCCCAGCAGTCCGGCAGGGTGGCGTCATCGTGGTATGCTTGCGAGGTCAACGAAACAGGGACCAGACAGAGCCCTCTGCCCCTCAAGTCATGCCCCGTCCCGCTTTCCTCCTCTTTCTCTTCGCCTCTGCGTCGAATGTGACCCTGAAATAAAATACCGGCAACGAGTCGTGGCCACGCACGCATTCTTGTCAATTGTTTTTTTATTGAAAATAATATATATTTGTTGCTTTATTAGTGGTACCTTGTACGTGCTTTTCGTCATGTACGGTTCACTAAACAGCTGCGCACAATGGAAGAGTGGATCAGCATGCATGGTAGTTAACTTTAAAAAGACAGCAATCTGGAGTACTTGTCAGCATTACTAGACTTCAGAAAAGAAAAGGTGGACTAATGGCTGTGACAGTGTAATTGACCCTTTTCCCTCTTAAGTCTATCGGTGTCCGGACTATGGAAAAAGACAGCATGATTGTTACACAAGACTTGGGCATGACTTGGAAGTCCACTGATAAAAGGTCAATGTGTGGTATGCTCACTGAAACCAGGGCAAATGGCTGGTTCAGTGTATATATTATCTTGGATGATATATTACACAACTATACACGGCCTATTCACATGCATTTCTCAGCTGCAGTTTATATATACTCCACTTGATAATTAAGGATCTTATTATTAGTGTGTTCTTCAACTTAGTAGAAAGTTATGCAAGACAAACATATTAGATATGACATATTGTGTACATGGAGTTATTACCCGTATCTGCTCATGAAGAAATTTTATGTACTCGATCGTTTCAAACAGCACCGATGATGTATCAGTCTGGCAAAATGAAATGTTCTATGCGAGTTATCATCAACCAAAACAGAAGGAACATAAATAAACTAGATTTCAGCATTTTGAAGCAAAAGTTGCGGCAAGAATCTTGTACTCGTACCTTCCCAAAAGGTGACACGATTTGCTGCAACGCTGTGATCTTCTCTCCCAGCTTCACTTTGGGCGCTTGAGGCTAAGTAAGTTTGAAACAAAATCGTCAGAATGCTTGCTCAAAAGTTCCGGGCTTCACGCCTTCGCTTCGCCAGTCCATCCCTAATCTTCACATGATTACGTACCTTAGGAGGCGACGTCTTGTGGGAAGCCTCCTGCTTAGATTTCTTCGTGTTTCCTCCAACCCTTTCCTCTGATTTCCTCCTCGTGGCTACACTTGTCGCAGCTCCACTTCCACTGCTGCGACCGCCCATGCCCATCCCCTGAAAGAATCAAAAGCGCGGAATTCGACAGGTTTCACTTTTGTACGCATCGTAGACGACCGAGAAGCTACTTTGATTTACGTAAGAAAGTCAAAGCTTACCGGCCTAATATCTTGCTCCTGTCTATTGCTGTTGCTGGACATGAAGTCTGCACTTGACCTGTTGTAGTCACTGAAAGAACCGGCATCCGGCAAGCTCCCCACGCCAAAGGAAGACTCGACTCTTTCAGACACCATGCCTGAATAACCCAGCAGGGCACTCTGAAGCTCCACTCGGCTTGGGACCGTTTGCTGCAGAAATGCAGCCGTGCTGCTAGCTCCAAAGCCCTGCCGCTGGCTGTCATCAGCTGGTTTCTCCTCGTGGTCGTAGCACGGCATGCAGCCCATGCTGGTCCCGTGCACCACACTGTCCCCCGAGTACACGAGTGGCGAGCTTGCCGTCTCATGCTTGACTGGAGGAGCACTGCTGGCAACAGTAGAGTACGGGTCCACGTTGCCGAGAAGGCCACAGGCAGAAGCCGGACCGGCCATGCTGCTGCTGGCGGCGGCGCCGCCGGCGGCCACTCCTCCGAGGTAGTCGCATGCCGCGGGAACGTCGTCCACGAACATCTCCGGCGTCACGTTCTTCGCTTCGAGCAGAGACAGGAAGTTCCCTCTGTAGCCGCTGCCCCCGTGCGCTACCACACTTCTGAAAATCATGCAGAACGTCAGCTTGACCATCGAACAAGAGCATGTTGGATGTGTACCGTACACTGGTGTACTTACGGGGCGCTCTGGTTCCAGGCATGGTCGGGGCCGTGCTCGCTCGCCAGGCTCGGGGCGGCCGCTGCCGCCGGGCCGCCCCCGGCGGCGAACGTGCCGGCGTAGGGTATCCAGGAGGGGAAGGGCGTGTGCGCTTGCATCTGTCGAGGAGACTCCCACATGCCGGTGGCTGAAGTGGAGGAGCTGCTGCGACTGCGACCGACTGGAGCTTCGTGTGCATCTTGGTCCATGAAATATACTACCAGGGAGCTACGCTGCAGTCCTGCAAAAGATGCCCGTGCGGCGTGCATGCGTGTGCGGCGCGCATGGAGCAGACGACACTACGGACGGAGTGGACCAGGTTGACGGATGGGGCCATTTTTGTAGGTGCGCGCCGGAGGGAGCATTTCCTTTGTCCTCTCGAGGTGGGGCTTTCGAGGATGATATGCTGTCGTCGGCATGACGTGATCATTTCGACAATACTCGTTGAGCCTCAGGTCGATATACATATTATCAGCAGTTGAGCAGAAATTATAGGAGTTATTTCGATTTCTAGCATCACAAAATCAGTGTCTGGCCTCGTGCCCTCGTCCACATTCATATATCGAGACAAAGCATGAGAAAAGTCTACTTAACTCCATTAACTATTAGTGTTCATTTATTTCACATAATCGCTTAAAAAAAACAAGTGTTTTCCCTCTTAAAGTATTGAAAACCGTCTAAATAACATCTTTGGATGGTTTTCAAGGAGGTTTTTCTGATGTGTCATATTGGGTAGATGATGACATGGATGAACAATAAAAGAAATCTATAAACCCCCTAAAATGTTGAAGGTGATTGTATAACCCCCTCAATTATACAACCCAGCACTATATAGTCATTAAAGTATCTACTAATCTTCAAACGTCTCTGAATGGTTTTTTAAGACTACTTTCCACTTTGGAATGCCACACCATTCTGATTACAAATGTCGGAGCGCATGTCCATATGTAAGATGAGCATGCCTGATGGCTTGCTAAGGTGGGTGTGGGATAGGAAGGAAGGGAACTCGTTGGTGAGGTAACCATGGTAGGAGAAAGCGAGAGTTTTTTTTTTGAAAGGTCGGCAAGAGATTTTTTTTGAAAGGTAGCAAAAGATTTTACCGTATTTTTATTAGACGGGAAAAAAGAAAAAATAGAAACAAAACATAATTACAAGAGAAAAACACCGACTCCACTATCGCCTACCCCTCTGGCCACAAGGCCTAGAGAACCCAACTCTGAACACCGCCTAGTAAACTCAACGCTGCGGATCCCCTTTGCCGGATAACAACAAAAAGAACACCTGAAAGACAAACTACTCACACCCAGATACAACACACGAAGATCAAAAACACTACTGCTGCGACTAAACCATTTGCGCATTAGATCTCGTGGCCAACTGGTACCGCTCGATGTCTTCCTTGCATAGAAATGCCACTTGTCTCGGTTGCAGCGAGATGTTCTAGAAAGTTCTACGATTTCGCTCCTTCCGTATGTTCCAAGTGAGGAAGGATGTGGGAGGGGATGACGTTGTGTAACACCCTAAAATTTGTCTTTTCTAAAATAAAGTTAAATTGATTTAAATACTTGTTTTTGTGCTCATGAAATATAGGAAGAAGAATATTTTTCATTATATTAAAATTCATCATAAGGAGTAGCAACATGGATGTGCATATATGCCGGTGCATTTGATTTATTGCAATGAGTGGTTGAATCCAAAATTCAAAATGAATTCAAATCGCTTTTGAAAATGGTTTCGAAATGGCTTTGAAATAAAAGAAAAGAAAAGAAAAAGAATTGGAAAATAAAAGAATTTAAAAAGTTGTAAAATTTATTTTTGAAAGCCTACCAAAATTGTTTATTTTGATTTGAATTGCAAAGTGTATTTGAAAACATATTTAAACTTGAGATAGTTCATATTGGAAATTGAAACAAGATTTAGAAAATGGAAAAAAAAAATCTTCCCTCTCAATCAGGCCCGAAGGCCTTTCCCTCTCTCTCCCTTTGCCTCCTGCAGCCCGGCTCCCTTCTCTCCCTCTTTGTTGGCCCAGCAGCCGCAGCCAGCCTGTTCTCTCCCCTCTCTCACCCACATGGGCCTGTCTCCCGACCCAGTCCTCTCTCCTCCCTTCCTCTCTCTCACTTGGCCCAAGGCCTAGTTCGCCCGTAGCCCAGCTTCGCTCAGCGGCAGTGCGCCCGCACTCACCGATAGCCCAGGCCAGCATATCAGTCCCTTCTCCTTCCTCGTGTCCACGCCAGACTCTCCGCCGCCGCTGACTCCGACTCCGCCGCTGTTACGTCTCTTCCTTGTCGTGCCTCCCAAGGTTCCCCGCCATAAATAGTAGCCGACCCCGCCGCCTCTCTATTTCGTCTTCGAGCTAGCAGTAGCCCTCGCCTAGTCGCCGCAAAACCCTAGCCGTGTCTCGACGTCCGTCGCCGAGCACCGCGCGCCGCCTCCATCCGCTCCACGCCGTCGTTTTTCACTGTGGTAAGTTTGCCTTGGCCTCCTCTTGCTCTCTGTATCTTTTTCGAGTTGAACCATGGCCCGTAGGCTGTTTTCCATTGCACTGCCGCCGGCCATGGCGCCGCCGCCAAAGCTCGCCGTCTGCAGCCTCTCTGCCCTCTTTCTCTCTCTGCTGTAATCTAGACCGTCCGTATCAGATCCAACGGCCGAGATCGGCCGATACCCCTTCGCCAACCTTTTTGCTAAAGAGACCCCTAATTTCTAGAATATTCCATCCACAGTCCCTGGCCCGAATTCAAAATATGATTTTATTTATTTTAAATCAAAATTTAGTTCTGTTTATTTACAAAAATGCCACTGATATTGTTTTAGCCATAAAATCTCCGTTTTAACTCCGATTTGATCCGTTCAAGTTGCGTTAGATTCGTAATTGTGTAATCTACATGTTCATACCATTGTTAAGTATGTTTTTAACTTTTGCAATTCAAGATTAGATTTAATCTATTATTTTATTAAAAGAAATCTTGTTTAATTCATAACTTCTTCGTTATAGCTTTGATTAGAGTACTTTCCGCGTCTGTGTGTTCGTAGCGAGACGTAGATTCGTTTTACAAAGTTTCTATCTTGATTTTATGGTTGGTGTACTGTTCTAATTGAATTCTATTATTTGCTTCGTGTATGATTGCATAGATGCTTGTGTGGTACTTTATGGTCATGTCCAGTCGGTGAGAAGTACGTTGGTGAAATATAAGAAGTTGGTGATCAAGAAGTCTTTTGACGGTTATAATTCAATAGAAGAAGGATTTAAATAAAAGGCAAGTATAGCATAGGATCTTTCTTGTTGTCCTATACACCTTTAATCATTTAATTTATGCTGCATGTGTCTACCTTGATTACCACTAAGGATTTTCTAGTACTTTGTTATCTTGTATCTTGTTACCTATGAGATATTGCATTGGACAGTATGATACTAGTGTTCAAACTAAAGTCATGATCTTGTAACTTAACTAATGGTATATGCAATAAACACTAAAAGATGCTTTTTAGCAATATGGAATCAAGGGGGCCAGAGTATTGGACTATTTTTATGGTGCTCTAGATTCCTCTCCCTAAGGACTTATCTGTAAGTGATTGTCCAGGACTTACAGTACAGCTGTGAGGGCTACATGGCTCTGGCTTTAGCTCAGTATGAGGACCTTTTCTAGCTTGTTAGTGGTTACCTTTATTGGCGTAAGAATGGCTTGACGAATCGGGTATAGTGCGGCCTCTGTCCCCTTATGTATAGGCTGCGCGTCATTGTGCCATCAGAAAGGGAGCTCTACACGTTGTAGATACCGTGTTGCCTTCTCGCCTAGCAAGAAGTTCACGTTAGGTGGAGGTTTGGTTTCCAAACGACAACATATCAGGCTTGTGTTTTTGGACTCACCTTGCTAGAAGGGAAGAGAGAATTTCACTCTCCTGCACGGGCGAGGTTAGGCTAGGATGGCTCTAGAACCAAGCACGCCATGTGTAAAGAGCTTGATGCCGTCGAGGAGCGCCGGTGGTAGAGCATGAGGCAAGAGGTCGCAGGCTGTTTGCAGGAGGTGGGGTAGGCTAGAAAGAGAAGGGAGTGAGGATGAAGGGTAAAAAAGAATGTACCCACTTACAACTAGGCCTATGTGCAAACTTCGGTAATTAGGCCATCGTGACGAGGGTATGGTGGTATGATAGACCATTTCAGGGTATGTTTGGATGCCTGATAAGCGGATGCAAAAACATACTCTCATTGTGGCCCGGGCGATACATTCAAAATGAGCTTCACTTGCCATCCTAGCTGGGCAGATGCATCTCTTGTTGGCTCATGTCATCCTCGGGTCAAGTCTCCTCTCCCATACACGCAACAAAACATCTTCTTAAGGTTATAGGTTTATACAATTCGCTGATATAAGGTCACTTAATTTGCTTATGCAACCAACCAAATCATATTTTTTTATGTCAATTGCATCCACTCAGCATGCTTCACTCATGCAAAATATATGATGCAGCCTCGTGAAAAGTAACCCTCAGTCTTTGGAGACCAGGTGAACGAACGACTTGTGGGAAGAAGCCAAAGCCAAGGAATGTTTACATGGCCGGAAAAATGGGAAATGATTATGGTGATGAATAATAATAAGCTAATGGTCCATGCATGTGAAAGGTACCTGAAAAATGGAACCAGTGGGATCTCTCGCGCTGTCCCTTGTCCATCGCCCACGCGCATGTTTCTATGCAAGCACGCGCGTGCTCTCGCGGTCTCGCCAACCGCACATACAAAATAAAGTACATTTCGCCAGGAAGATCGAGAAACATGTCACAACCTCTCAGCTTGTCGACACTGGACAGTTTTTGCAGGACATCGTTTGTAGCGTTACACTGAACAAACAACAACGATACAACGAAATGATAAGGCTACAACAACTTGCTATAATAGTTGACGAGAGCCTTCCTTTTTGTAAAGAAAAAGTACCCATTAACCCATACATGTACCAGGTCCAGAAAGATCTGTCTTTCAGAAGGAAAAAGGTTACTATAGCACATTACCTTCACAAGTGGAGGGGCCACGCAATTTCAAGTCATATGTGTGCCGTGTCAGTTTAAGATTAGCTTATAACAATCTGGACACCCGTAGCCTCTTAAAGATTAAACAGTAGCATAATTCTTCTCATTACGAAATGATGACACC